AATTTGACTGATGGATTGTCCATCATTTGAAATCCATAAATCAAGACTGGATGCCTTTCTAAAAGATATGATCTACCACAGCCACAAGTTACTGGATCTGATGCAGGAATTACTGGGTGAAATTCCAAGGCCTGTATTATGCAGGAAATCAGACTATAAGAACATAGTTGTCTGTTCTGGCCTTAAAATTTATGAATTTTTGGCACAAGTTTCTTGAATATTTACCTCTTTTCTTTCTTTCTCTTTAATGTGTTATACTCTAAGACTAGAGAGCAACAACCTTTGTGTTTCTCTGAATAGTTAAAATAAAGCTGCATTTATTGCCTGTCGTGCATAAGACACTTTTGTGCACATTAATGAGTAATTAATTGTTTGTTTAATAGATGCCTTGCAATACAGATTACATTTTTGCGTATTTTTTTTCTGTTGCCACATCTGCATGATTTTTTGGCTGCATTTCCAGCAATGCCACATAAGTGCTAGGATCCTGGAAACAAACATGGTATAAAACCCTGCAAGCTTAGTACCTTGAGATCGTCAGCTGTTCTCCGCTGAAACACATACTGCTGAGGCCACCTGGTGTACACAGCAAAGCAGCAGTCCACTCACAATCCTTATACTACTCCTTGGCAAAGCATGTCCAATGTAATTACACACAAAACCCTCACCAGGCTTAAGAAGGGCTTGACTCAACTCCTTAAGAGCAAGGGTTGAAGCTGAATGTCTGTGCTCTTCAGAGGAATGTGTGAGATTGTAAAAACAAGTGGCAGGCAGCAGTAGTAGTAAGGATAATTTGTTATGTTAGTCTCTATCACTCAGATTCTGGAGATCATCTGAGAGGTGCTAGACCTGTAAAACAAAGCAGAGCTTCAGAGAGGAAAAGATTTTGCTTTACATATATTAAAGAATGCTTGACTACAATTACATCAAGACAAAGTGCTTTTTCCCCTCCTCATCAAAAAGCCTAAGGGGCTGACCTGTCCTTCCAGATAAAGAAGGCTAGATGCAGCTCCTACTGCCATTCTTGGGTTGCCCTGAAGGCTGTTCTTCAAGGTATTCCTTCCTCTGCATGAGCTAATTGGGTTTCTTCTGCAGTGCTGCCCTCCCTTGATGGCACAAAGAAAGAGAAGGATCAAAACCCGGTTGGGATCCTCAGTCCAGTGCGTCACTGATGTCCCAAATCTGGACTGTGGGAAAAAACTCCACTTATGAGTAGGTAAATCCATGCTACCCACTTGTCATTGGTTTGGGGGGGTTTAAGCCAGCTATTCACTTGAAAGGATATTTTGTGTGTCTGCCTGGGGTTGATGGTAGAGTTGCCCCGTTCCGACATGAGCAGCTAGTCAAAATTCAGGATCCTGGGGATGTTCCAGTTGGAAGTAGAAATGGATGGAGTCTGGGTTTGGTTTTATTTTTTTTTTCAAGAAATGTCCAAAGTCCTGCTTCTTCAAATGCAGGGGGAGACCGAGAGCAAAAAGAGCAGTTTCTTCGTTTACAACCCCAAGAATCTTTAGCCAACAGACTCAAAAGTGCTGTCTCTTACACTTCTTACACTTACACTGTGGTTACACAGGCTACTGCTTGACTCTCTTCCTGCATCTCTCTCTCTCTCACACACACACACACACACACACACACACACACAAAACCAGTCACAGTACCAGTGGAAACCCCCATCCACATGGTGCTAGTTTCTGGCCAGACTTTATTAGGCCTTCTTTTGGGTGTGGCTTCTTAAATGTTTCTTACAGCTATCTTCAGTGAAGGGTGTGTTCTCACCCAATCTCAAAGAGGTTTGTAATCCAATGAGTCCCTCTCAGTGTAACAGCAGAGACCCAGTAGATAGCAGAGAGTGCAAAGAGTAAGATGGGCATTGCTGCATTAAAGACATAGCCATAAAAGAAGAACCTTGTGGTGCAGTCCCTTCCACCGCTTCACTGCTCAGTCACAGCCAAGAAATGACTACGGTCAACCCAAGTAGAGTAGTTTTGAATTGCTTCCCACATTTTGATAGTCCGCTAGGAGCATGAGCCTCCTGTATGTCATCTGCTCATTTGTTGAAACCACTCTCATGTACTTATATTTCAAAGTACTGGCTTCCAGCTCCTACAACTGCGTCAGCATCTTTTACCAACATCAGTGCTTCCCAGCCAGGGATGTGTGAAGCTCAGCAGTTTTGTTTCATGGGGTTGTCTGAAGCTTTATATCTCTTTTTTTCCCCCTTTTCTTGTCTTCGAGTCCCTTGAGTTTCTAGTTGTGATGCCTCCTGTTTAAGTATCCCGCACTTTATCAGACATACAAGCAGCTAACACAGAAAGACAACCCGAGATGATTCAACAGACTCCATGACCACAACTGAATCAAACTGGCTGCAATTCCTACGGTATGCCACTACTAGGTCTCCTAAAGACACAGTCCACTACAGTGGTCTGAATAAACCCCAAAACACAAAGTGAAATTCAACTGAAACTACTGTATCTTTGCCTGAGTTCAACCAAAACCCACATGTTCTCCAAGATTCATGTGAAACTTAGCCCAGATTCACTTGGACTCAAACCAGGCTTGCTGAGCGGTGCACAGAACTTGGATATGCCTGCCCTGAGCTTTGATTTGTATATTGTGTCACTCTGGCGAAGTACTGATGTGCCCCCATAGTATGTGGTAAATACAGAGACTACAAATTGATATTGTTGCTACCTTTAGCTCAATCAGTAGCCATCTTTGCTTTTGATACCGAGAGTCAGGAGTTCTGTCATAGCTGATGGCTCATGGTGGAGCTTATTACATAATGAAACCTGAATTCAGCCCATTAGTTTCCTTATAAACATTTTTAAGTTTTAATCCACTCTATAAACATTTATCACAGAAGGAGTATGGGGTAGTGCATTTAGAAGAGACTGGGAACAAAGAAGGGTTGCTTATACTGTAAGCTTTTTCAGTTAGGGTGGTGTGTGTGTAGACAATGCCTAGGTGCATTATGCTCATTACTAGAAGAGATTCATCGATCCATAAATTAAAGCCAGATGGGGCCATTATGGTAATCTTTTCTGACATCCTGAATGCCACAGCCCATAGAATTTCATCCAGTAAATGCTGCATCAAGCTTATAACTTCTATTTGAGTGATAGCACATATTATAGCAAGGTATCCTATCTTTCAATGAAGATTTCAAATGATGGAGAACCCACTACATTCCTAGCTAAATGGTTCCGGTGGTTAATTACCCTCACTGTTAAAAACTGGTGACTAATTTCTAGTGTCATTTGTCTAGTTTCAGCTTCCAACCAGTGGATCTTGTTGCCCCTTTTTTCTGCTAGATTAAAAAGCCTACTAGATTAAACTGTCAGAAATCTCTTCCCCGTGAAGGTACTTGTAGATCGTGATCCAGTCACCTCTTAACCTTCTTGTGGATAAACTAAATAGATTTAGCTTCTTAAGCCTATCACTATTCAAATAATAGATAATAGCTCCTGCATTACTATCCTGGTTCTGACACTGTGTTGCAGCATGCTCTTGAGAAAATCACATAGGTTAAGTATTTCCAAAATTGGGTGACTAAAATTAGGCAGATGGATATATATTTAGTATCCTAAATTAGTAGTCTGATTTTCAGAGGTGCTGAGCACCTTCTGTTCCCATTTAACTCGGTGCCTTCCATTAGGTTATGTGGGTGTCTAAGTACCTAGCTTTAGGCACCTATGTCTCCTTTTCTCCCAAAATAAGGATAATACTTACCTAGCTCATAATTAAATTAACATTAGAATTGGGTCCAAGTGGAGAAATGTAAAGCCAGGCCTGCACTTTCCATTGGTTCAAGGGTGTTTGGTTCTGGGGTCTGGATTGGGGCGTGTCTTGCCATGAGGGTTGTCACCAGAAAAACTTGTTGAGATGGGAACATATATAATATTGCTTTCCAAGATAAATAGGTCAGAGCGTTCAGTTTAGAAAAAAACAAACCCATCTTGCAAGGTCAGTGAACAAGTACTGGAGATGGACGCTGATGTTCTCCAAGTGCTGGAATTCATTTTGCAGAGTTTGACACTTTTCTAATTGAAAAGGCTGCCTCTGCAACATTTAGCAACTAAAAATACTGAGTGACAAAGCACAAAAAAGCCAACTAGTCAGCCGCAGACATCTAGCACCCAGAGTGACGGGGCCTGGCAGCAATGGCAGTGAGAAATGGAATGCTGAGACCCAGCTGTACGCATGCTCTCCCAGGTGCTCTGAAGTCCTGAGATGTAGTATCTATTTGCTATAGAAGAAGAAAAGCAAGTGAAAGCTTGCAATCAGTGCCTGAGTATGACTATGTGGGGAGGGGGTTTCTGAGCACAGACAGTAACTGTGCACACAGATGAGAGGTAGTTACATCTAATACTACAGACTGTTAAATTAGAGACAAGTTGGATGAGGTAACGTATTTTATTGGACCCACTTCGGTTGGTGAGAGAGACAAGCTTTCGAGCCACACCAAACTCCAACAACAATTTGACATGATTTTTGTCAAGCTTTGCAGAGAAATTCTCCTTTGCATTCAGAATAAATCTGGCAATTTTCAGACCCAACTGATTTTTACAAGCCAACATTAAAGGGGGTGAAAAATAGGTCTTGATTATGGAAGCTGGTTGCAATCTGTGCAGTTTATTATGAACATATTGTTGTAGCACCTAGAGATAACCCAGGTTGGGGCTCTAATGTGCTGGGTGCTACAAACAGAAAGTGGCAGTCCCTGTCCCTACAAGTTTAAATTTTGAAATAATTCACTGTCAGTTGGTATTTATGCTTTTATTTATATTTGATCTGATTTTGAAAAATGTAACAGTAATCAGTGGATAATGACCCCTGTCATGGGACAGGTTCTTATCCTTTTATAACCCTGGCCTATGTCTGGAGACTTTGGGTGTAAATATAGCTCATTCTTTCACCAGCCCTCCTCTGTTTCACACTTTTAATACCCACAGCACTTTATCATCTACACAAAAGTACAAAATGCCAACTACAGAAACATTGCCAAGGTCTTCTCTTTATTAAACAATGAGAGATTAACATGCATATAGCCAACAGAGGAAATTTACAAGCAAAAGGAAGCTGTGATTTTTATCCCTTGACCTTAATGATATAGGACTGGATGACACCAACATTTCCAGGTAAATATGTGACAGATAATATACTTGAAGACACAGTACATAGGAAGAAACATAATTTCTCTGACTACTGGCGAGAAATGGAATGAGACTCATGTTATGGACCTTGCATCGCACAGAAAAGCCTATTGCTATGTAACCTTTCTGCCAGGGGCTGCTGGAGCAAAAAGGATCACGTTCAAATATCTAGGGGTTCCTTATGAAAATGTAACAAATAACACCGGCCAGAGCCCCCACCCAGAAACATGGGAAAGCTAAATACTTCCCTGGGTGCCCTTGACAGCCAATCCTTACCCAGTCACAACCACGGAGTCCAGAGGTTTGTGGGGAAAGGGGGCGCCCACACCTGGGAAAGCCTGCAATATTCAATCAAAAATATCTAAATAGACCTATTAAGTAAGACTCCCACTCCTCGGAGTGTCTTGGCAATGGTCTTAAATTCAAGGTCCGTGTTCAATAAAGCAATGCTCACCATGGGCACTTTCTTCTGTTGCTGTTTGTTGTCCAGTGTTTGTAGAGTCCAGAGTTCAGCCACTGTAGCTCCAGCCCCTAAAGGAGCTTCTGGCTGGTCTGCCCCACAGTTCTACCTCCTATCCCAGCAGTAGTGATTGCAGCTTTTATTTATTGCCGGGCAGGCGGGGCCCTCGCCAAAGTTCTTCATCTATGCTGCTGCCCTCTGTGGCCCCGGAAGAAGCCACGTGGACCCACCCAAATCAGTGGCAGCATGCCCATTTACGCCAGCTAGGAATCTGGCCCATTCTATCTAATATAACTCTGGATGGTCTCATTTGTCCATGTAAATCTGTAGACCTTTGTTCATTTTACTAAACTCTTAGTCTGTGTGATATCTTGTGGCTGTGAGTTCCACAGGTTAGTTATGTGTAGTGTTCATAGGCGCCAACTCCATGAAGCATGCATGGGGAAAATATGTTGGGTGCTGAGCACCCACTGGCAGTCCCCCATCAATGACTCTCCCTCCCCACAGCGCCTCCTGCCCTGCAGTGGGCCCTGCCGATCAGCACCTCTCCCTCTCCCCTGGAGCCTCCTGCTCCTTCTAAAATCAGAGGCCCTGGGGGAGGAGGAGGTAGAAGCGAGGGTGCAGCACGCTCAGGGGAGGAGGTGGAACTGGGAGGGGAAGAGGCGGGGCAGGGGTGGGAAGAAGCAGGGCAGGGGTGGAACATTGGGGGAAAGGGTGAAGTAGGGGCAGGGCCTGGGCGGAACCGGGGCGGAGCACCCCTCAGCAGATTAGAAACTCGGCGCCTATGATAGTGTACAAAATAAACCGATACAAATTCCTTTCATCAATCTTATTTGTGCTGTCTTTCCATTTCATTGCCTTGCCCCATATTCTTGTTTTATGAGAAAGGGGAAGCAGCCTGATGCACTTAAATGAAATCTAACCTAAAACAAAAAGTTAACCCAGCTTTTTTTCAAAACTCATAAAAGACTTTTGTCCCAGTTTGGCTCACATGGGGGGGGGGGAGGCGGGGGCAAAGGTTCAGGTCAGTTATTTCATCCTGCCTGTCTGGTTTACTTATCCATATCTGAGATGCCACCATTTGATCATGTCCTTTTTAAAGCTTGGGTCACAGTAGCATCTCCTAAAGTTCTTCTCTACTGTTCCTAAAAACCAGAACTTCCCTACTGTTCCTGAAAACCAGTGCAACTGCCCTTAAAATAAATATATCTCCAATAAAAAATAATCATCTCAGGAAACCTGCAGACTTGGCAACACTGCAGTGGAGCTGTACAGAGCCCGAAAGATGCTAACTATGGCCATGGCGTTGACATACTGCTGATTTCTCCATCTCCCCTTTCCCTGTGCCCCAGTGGTGTCATTTCAAAATACATTACAGTGGAAAGACTTTGGGATGTTTTAATTACATGTGACTAAAACTAGCTGTTGGTAGAATTAGGGAACCTGTGTTTACGATTTATAGATCTCAGCTTCTACTCGAGTGAGGTAATAAATAACATGAAATGGGCCCTTAAGTATTAGAAAATTCAGAGAGAGAGAGAGACACACACATACACATGAACCCTCATAAGGTTTGTGTCCAGTGTGATATGAAATACAGTACAATGTAAAAATTATGGGGTAGTGGACAGAAGAGTGGTAATACATTTTTTATCTACAAGGTGAGAATTTTGAACCTTCCTGCAAAGATTTTCCATTGTTTTACTGGGGAACTCACAGCATTGTGAGGTTGATCCAATTACTAATGACTGTATATTTCTAGCAAGTTCTTTAGCAAATCAATGCCACTGGTATGTATTATGTCGTATGATTTTTTGATAGGAACTACCTATTTCAAATGTACTGGTACAATGCTAACAGCATATTGGCCAGGACAAGATGGGTGACTTGTAGAGGATTAGTGCAGTCTAAGGGAGAGACTAGTGAACTGGCAGTCAGGACTTCTGGGTGCTTTTCCTGGCTCTGCTTCTGTGTTGCTAAGTGGACTTGCAGCAGTCACTTAAGGCTGGATATTCTCACCCTGATCCTGAAAAGTATTTAAGCATGGGATTTATTTTAAGCATGTGAGTAGCCACATTGACTTCAGTGAGTTACTCCTTATTTACAAAGGTGTCTGTGAGAGAAGAATCAAGCTCTATGCATCTCAGTAAAAGGGGTATAATTACACACATGCAGGAGTGTGGGGATGTAAAACGAATTAATTTTTGGAACGTACTTTGAGATTCCTGAATAAAAGACAATAAGGAAGTGCAAAGTATTAATATTAGAAATAAAACTGAACAAATAATTCATAGCAAATAACTATATGAATTTCACCTTTTCTGTTTGTGGGTGGACTGTGAGCGGTTTGATTTTTTTCAAAAGTGTATTCATTATTCGAGATTATTCCCCACATTTCTGAAAAAAAAAAAGATGTGCCTGTAAGTTGTTCTTAAGGAGTTCACTGCCAGAATTCATTTTCTAGAATCTAGACTTTGAATGGGAGCAGTTGGTTTTGATTTGACACACAGGTCACATGATATTGTTTCTGTTCCCTGACTAGATGAGTATGCCTCTTAGAATCATGTGTGAATATTCATGTCTATGAGTTCAGTATTTAATTGCCATGTTCTCTAACATTCATGTATCATTTGCTGTTTGTGCAAAAAAATCTATTAAACTTGTTTAATAGCATGTTCATGGAACACAAACAAGATACACATACATACTCCCACTGAAAGAGAGAGGGGATGTTACATTTCAAACTAAAAGTGGCAGCTGCCTGGCAAGTGAATAGCTATATCATCCCCACATCAAGTTCATATATCGTAACTATCTGTGAGGGTCGGTCTACAGGAGGAACACAAGACAGATAAACAAAGCAAGGACGATATTGGCTCCATATTCCTTGAAGAGAACCACAAAGCTACTGCCAGTCATCATGTGCAGACAGAAATAACAGGTCAGCCAGTCACAAACAATGAAAAGCATGGGGAGCAGCAAGCACAGCTTTCAGGTGGGGGATCCACCTCAGCTACTGACTAGGCCACTGCAGAAGGAACTGCTTTGGGAACAAGAAGTGGCCATGTGAGCAGACAGGCATTGAGGTTCAGGGTTAATAGTCACTGCCGTGTCCAGTAAGAGGCAGAATAATCACCTTCTCATTCAGGAGTTTTTGTCTACATGGATACCTGCCCTAGATGTCTCAGTCTGGGGGTTTTACTTACTGGCAGTTATTTGTGGTGCTTCTTGTTTGATATTATTGCTGGTCAGAAAATGGGAATTTCTGCTCTGGAAAATGTGGATTTTTCAGCAAACCCCTCCCCCCCCATTGTTTTTCCAGACAAAACCCATCCTGTTTCTATTCAGAAATGTGCCTCAGGATAATTGTAGTTTAGGGGCCTCAAGCTCCTATTCTCCTGTATGGACCAGGCTCCCCGAGTTGGACATTTCCCATGATACACTCATGGTGAGGGTAGCTGGCTGCATCATGTGACTCCCTGGCCATGGTGCATCATGGGAGATGTAGTCTGGCTGGGGAGCCCAGCCGATAGAGGACAAAGGGGATATGAGGAAATAGAAAACTCCCATGAAACACTATAGCAGGATATCCAAATCAAAATATTTTGTTTTTGGGGCACTGGATTTTTGGATGAAAAATCAAAACTTTCTGCAGAAAGTTGACGTCAAAACCCAATTTTGTGTGGAAAAAGAATCTGGTCAGAATTTTTGAACAGCACTAATTGATATTATGTTTTATCTATGTTTGATTTTTTGGAAAACAGTATCCGCTGAAGTCAGCTGATACTGACCCCCTGCCAAATGACAGGGGTATCAACCTTTTAAAACCTTCAACTATGTCCTGTGACTACGGCCAAGAAGGAAAAGAAAAGGCCAGTTTCTTTCTTTCCAGTACTCCAGTGTGCCATACCCTTATTACAATGATTACAACTGCTGTCTGGAAAGGACCTCAGAGACTATCTATCTGGCTAATTTTGTCATCTATAATCCAGTCCTACTTGTGGCTTGCACCAGCTGTATTTATTTAAGATTTCCCTTTATAAATCCCTTAATAAAAACCCATGGCAGAGTCAAAGAGTAGCTTTTGCACTGTAAAAAAGATTCCTGGTGGGGTTATAATTTATATTTTTAAACTGAAACCCATTGTCTGGCTTGTAAATTTTAGACTGTGTAACTCTGAGCAGGTTCTATGATTATAGCCACTATTGTTCACTTAGGATTCCTTTTTATCTGAGAGTGTCATGTTTTCAAGGGCACAATTAAAACAGAGAGAATACAACTGTGATTTGTATAAGCATCTTCATACAACATGAAAGCTTTACAGAGTTAAATAATAAAATATAAGCAGAGAGAAGAGAAATTAAAAGAGCAAGGATCAACTTATGGTTCACGCATTTGACTGGAACTTGAGCTCTGGGTTCTATTCAAGTCTCTGCCATAGACTTCCTGTATAAAATTAAGCAAGTCACTTGGCTTTGATTCAGGAAATATGTGTTTAGCTTTTAAATATCAGTTTACGTCCTAGTGGCTTCAATGGGGCTTAGGTACGTGCTTTCGTGCTTCCTTATTCAGGAAAGCATTCATATTCTAGGAAGGGGGTCACAGTTCCACATCCATATAATAGGGATGATACTTCCCTTTTCCCATCCTTTATCTAGTCTGTTTAGATCATGAAGTCTTCAGTGAAGGCCATCTTACTGTGTGTTTTCACAGCACCCTGGACAATGGAGTCCCGGCCTCGGTAGCCACTGTAATGTAAATAATATACAGAATGATTAAATATTACTTCAGATTTGAAAATAGCGAGGGAGCTGACAAGACGTGAACAAAGTTTCATGTGGCAGGAGATAAGATGAACACTCTTGCTTAAACTGTAACAAGCTTTTTGTGAAGGGACAGAGATGAAGGCAGTGCTAGATGAGATGAAGGAGCAGAAAGAAGAAAAGAGAGGCAGGTTCTGTGTGGTGGGCGTTGCGAATCCACAGAGGGTTCTAACAGCAAGGAGGGACATTTCAAACTGGATCCTGAAATGGATGAAAAACCAGAGGAACTGCGTGAGAGGATGCCAATGTGGTTGTGCTCCTCTGTCCTTGTAAGAAGGTGGAAGCAGCACGCTGCACATGCTAGAGCCTGGACTCCTGGTCTTGCGGAAGCTGCGAAGAAGGAACTGGCAGTAGTTGCAATTAGGAGAGGAATGAAGTCATGGGAAGGATTTGATTGGCAATGGAGTCCAAGCAGTGGTGTGTCTGAGCAATGATACAGAGGTGGAGCTAGGAAGATTTACTGATATGTGTGGCTTAGGTGATTTAAAAATCCCTTTTTTAATTGAAGAGGACAGCACCCATGGGGGGAAAATGCACAGCTTCCCTGACTAGCAGTATCCCATCCCATGAGAAAGAATCAAACCTGGCAAGATTTGGAGCCTGACTTTGCTGCTGTCAAGGTCACATGAAAAACTCTAACACAGGCTGTTAGGAGTTTCTAAATTTAAAACAGATCCCACTTACCACATGGTAGGCAACACAAGCTATTTATCCACTTTGAACAGATAGAGCTACTTAATCCTTCTATGATTAGAGGCTAGCGAAGTTAAGCTAATTCGGCTTCTGCAGGCGCTGCTCTATTTGATGGAGGCAGCCCATTTTAGGGAAAGGCCTGCTGTTGCTCTGGCGAAACAAATAGTTCTCTCCTTTGAGCTAAGAAAAATTTACTATTGATTTTGGCCTAAGAGTGATAAGTGGTTTCTTTATGATTCTGATCATGTTTACAGAGCTATTATTTTGGACAGTGGCCTCATATACATTTGCGGAAGATTCAGCGCGAGAGTATGTTGTTTCACAGAAATTTACTGAGCAGTTTCCAAGCTCCCTAATTTTTTTGGCTCCAGAGCCAGGAAAAGTAGGCTGAATATATGAAATTGTATCTCCACTGGCATACCGTTTAATAGGCCTGACAGCCTGTAGATATTGATTGTTTTGGGAGAAAGGTCAGGAGAACACAAGAGCCTTGCTGTTTTTCTACTTACGACCAAAGGTTTGGTTGATCATGAAAGACCGCAGAGTTATCATCTAAATTCCTCTTTAAAACCAACAGCCACACAGGACTGTGAGGCTGCTTGCAGAGCGTAACAGTTGCTTTTTAAAGCAGCTTGTACGCTGAAATGTACAGAGACTCTGCAAGTGCCGGAGGGCTGCTGATTGGGCAGCCTAGTGTAATGGTTGCCTTTGGCAGTAGTAGGCCCAAACAGCAGAGGTAGAAGAACAACCTAGGAGACGCTGCGTGGCTGTATTCCACTTGAAACATCAGTTTCCTAAGGACCAGTCCTGCAAAGACTTACTTACATGAGTAGGCCTATTGAAGTCAGTGGACCAGTTTGCATAAGTCTGGACTGCTCGAGTGAGAAAGCATTTGTACGATCAGCCTCTGGGACAATATATGGGGCAGGGAGAGGACGGATGTGTAAATCCACAGTTCTGGGTCTATTCCTAATTCTGCCTCAGGTTTCCTGGGTGATCTTGGGCAAATCACTTAACCTCTCCAACTTAACCCTTCTGTTTTTGTAGCTTTAAAATAAAGATATTAATAATTCCCTTTAAATAGCGATATGTTGAAGTTACATTAGAACTAGTTGGAAAGCTGACATTTTTCCAGCAAAGAAATTGAACAACATTTTTTCATTTGAAATTTTTTGGACAAAATATTTGCTTTCCTGTGGGAACTTTCCAAACAATTTAAAAAAAACTCACTTAGTATCAACATTTCAAAATGAAAGAACAAACTTTGTTTCATTTTGACTTAATATGTCAGTTGGTTTTGGTGTTTAAAAAAAATGAAATGACATTTTAAGTTGAAAAGAAACAAAACGTTTCCTTTCATTTTGAAATGCTGACTTGAAACAAAATTTCCTTTTCAAATTTCCTTTGGGAAAACAGACTTTTTTTTTCTGATTTGGTGTTAGAATGGACATTTTCCTGCCAAAATTGTGGTTTTTATTGAATTGTTTGGGTTTGAGGGGGTTTGTTTTTGTTTGTTTGTTTGTGGGGAAAAGCTTTGCTCACAAAAAAATTCAACCAGCTCTAGCTGTGAGAAATAGAAACATTAAAAGGAAAGAAGGAGTAGAAAAGCAATGAACAGATAGAGCAAATGGTGGAGTAAAAAATCCTCTCAAATCAGAAGGGAAAAGGGAAGAAATTTTAAACAAATAAAAAAAATCCTTAGAGTTTTCAGGGGAAAGGGGCAGTTGAGACCCCCAGCCATAGAACTTCCATTAGTCATTATTTATTATCAGTATTATAGCTGGTGTTTAGAATAAGTTATTCATATATTTCTCCTGTCTTTTATTAGAATATTTCAGTCTTCCTTCTCAGCGGTCCACTTTCAGTCTCTTAGGCAGAATGCAATCTGGCATTTGAGTTCCTCTTGAACTGCCAAGTCAAATTCTTGGGGCCGAATGAACTCCATGATTGGGTGGCCATGGTATTTGGCATTTTCCCAAGGTACCCCAGAATTTAGCATCCCTGTTGCAGAATTCAGCATTCAGTTGAAGCTGGGTGCCTGGCATTTTGTTGTCTGTCTCCCTGCCCTGCTGGGACCTGTTTGCAGCTGCCTCTTGCTAGGTCCTTTCCTCACAGGGGATGAGGGTGTGCTGTTCTATAGTCCCAGTCAGGAAAGAGGGCAAGAAACCAGAGCTAGAGTCCAGTTTGTAGGTTTATTCCTTTCAAGTCACAAAGCCAGACAAGAGGGGTTATCTTTATAGCATGAAATTCATATTTACCAGCATCAGATTCGGCAACCCTTATATGTTGAGTAGCACTTACTCTAGTGAGTAGTTCCATTGCATTCAGTGGGACAATACTTGTGAGGAAATGCTACTCAGCATTAATCAGAATTGTAGATTTTGGTCCTTGGAATGGAAATTAGGGAGCTAGTCAGGAATGTTCCGACTAAACCATTTTTCTTGGAAAATGTCAATTTGTCAAAAAATGAAACGTTTCACAGCAAAAGGCCATTTTTGACTAAACTTGCATTGGGAAGTTTTCTCAGATCCAAGATGGGATCTCTGGTCCGAACTGGGTTGCCAGGCGGGAGAGAGAGAGAATATGGTCAGTTATTATGGTAATGAGGGCCATATAAGTACTTAAGATAGAGACATTTAGCCAAGACATATTAAGGAAAAATTCTTGATTCGGGTCCTATCTTGCTGCCCTTGTCATGTATGTGATCCCATTGTCGTTTACTCATTTGAGTAAGGAATGTTCCTGTGAGTGAGGATTGGAGAATTAGGTTCCTAAATAGTAAGTTCTCCTTGCTACATCTCTGGGGACGGGGACAGAGGGGGTGGTGGGAAGCAGTGCCCCATCCTAACATAGCGGGAACTTGGATCATAGTCCTTTCCTGTCTCCATCCAGTCATTCTCCTCCCTGGTCCTGTCCTCAACCCCCTCGGCCCACCTCCAATGCCTAGGAGGCGCCATGAGTCAGACACAGCACCTTCTCCCTTTGCTGACTGCATCTCAGTTTCCTCAGAGGCCTCATTGAGCTCCATGTTGTTAAGGGGCCACATCATTCTTTTCTGAATGTTAGGCCTTGGTTATAGGAGCTGGATCACTTCTCCATCTGTGTAAGAACAGTCTCTTGGCACAAGAGAGAGTAATGGAGACAACAAACCAAAATTTTCAAACACGGGTGCCCAAAGATAGACTCCTGGCTGCTGGCTTTCCAAAGCATTCAGCATCCAGCAGTTCCTGGAGGCTTGTAAGGGAGCCACGACATGCTGAGCAGTTTTGAAAATCTGGCTATACTTATTCAGGTGCCTGAATGTGGATTTAGGTGCCTAATTGCAGGCCCTCATTTCTGGAAATCATGGTCCCAGCCTTTTAAGTGTTGTATTATTTAGTGAGTGAGGTTTCAACAAGTCTGCCACATTTGGTGTTGCCTAATGATTCAAGCACTGGCCTGCCCTGTGGGAGAACAAGGTACAAATCCTGGCTCTGAATCAGGCAGAGCAGAGTTTTCTGTTATGCAGGAGGTCAGAGTAGATTATCACAATGGTCCCTTCCGGCTTTATAATCTATTAATCTAATCTATGAGCCTTCAGCAAAAATGATCTCTTCTGCAATCTACACTGAAACAGAAAGGCAAGGCAGCTGAGAAAGGTTTGTAGCATTTGAAATTGCATCAGTTCTACGATTTCCTTCTCTACAGCTGCCTTGCTGGTGAAATCCAAGATTCTTGTCTACTGTGTATGTTTAAACCCTGCTAGACCACTGTACACTCTTCAGCAGGGATTCTAGCTGAACCAGCCAGAATTCTCAGGGGGATCCCACTGCAGTACTACTATTCAAAACCTCCTCCAGCATGGGGAATGGATTAAAAACCACAGTCTGACTCTTTTCAGAGGAACAGCCGTGTTAGTCTGTATTCGCAAAAAGAAAAGGAGTACTTGTGGCACCTTAGAGACTAACCAGATTTTCCCAAGAACTCAGGGGCCCAGCTTCTTCCATTGTTCTTGGGGCTGTTGTCAGTGGGGATGGCTGGGTGTGGAGGAACACTTTTGTAAATGTGGCCACTTCACTTTAAAAATTACATGCCACATTTTCAGAATGTTCCCGTTCTGTCTTCTAACTCCAGGCATTTGGGGCGGAAGTGGGGCTGAGGGACATATGGATAGTTAAGGTGGTTTGTCATTGGGTCCATAGGCAGTCTGTTCAATTATAGATTTTGAAATTATGTTTTGATACTATGGGTCT